GGGGGGGGCGGTTTGGGGCGGGGGATGGTGCATATGGTGCCAACGTTTCCGATCCTCCATCCCCCGGTGATGCAGATCCGGTCCTGCTGTACAGGGAAGGAGAATGATGATACATTATCAGGAGCGTCGTAGCTCTCAGCATTGGATGCAGTTACACACCATCCTCCAGCCCACACTCCATCTTCCCCACGCAGACTGCGCACATGTCCGGAATTCAAATATATTCCTATGAGTCACCGTGCAGAGGAGAAGCAGAGACAGCGAGAGAACATCTCTGTGCGCCAGAAGTCACTGCTATGTGAGCATCCGTCCATTCATCGCTCCGGCTTCCCATAGGATGAGACTCTCACCTTCTGCCTGTCATGCTGGATGGATGGACCGGACGGAGCACCCATTACAGCACCACCAACATGGGCGGCATTTGCGTTATTTATGTTATTTTGTTACATTTTATTGATATTTTGAAGCAGATTTCCAGTTGGTTTTTTTTTAAGGTTTAATCTGCAGGAGAAGAAAGTATTTCCTCAATCCCGTTTTACTGACATGGTAAAAGGGTTATTTTAATGAAAGCTGCTGGTTTAAAAAGAGGACTTTAGAAATGACATTAACACGCTAAAGCTTATATGAGATTTTAGCCGTTGAGTTTCACATCTACATTAAGGGTTGTGTTTATAAACAAGTAGCAGAGCCGTTCGCTGCGTGAATCTCTGTGAATGTTCATTCTGTGAGAATAGAGGCAAAAACGAATGTTCCTAGTATATGTTCTTTTCAGGTTGAATGTAATGTAATACCGCATTATGGCCACTAGATGGAGCTGAGGAGCTTAGGATATAAATACTTATTATAGCCACTAGATGGAGCTGAGGAGCTTAGGAAATAAATACTTATTATAGCCACTAGATGGAGCTGAGAAACATATGAAATACGGCATTATGGTCACTAGATGGAGCTGAGGAGCTTAGGAAATAAATACTTATTATGGCCACTATATGGAGCTGAGAAACATATGAAATACCGTATTATGGCCACGAGAGGGAGCTGAACAGCATAGAAAATAAATGCAGTAAACTCCCCGTTATCCGGCATCCACTGGGATTGGTAGATTCTGTATAAATGTAGTTTCTGGTTGCTTGAGAATTACTATTAAAAATAGGTCTAACTAATGCCATACCCCATAGTATACTATACCATACCATAAACTCTGTATTGACTTCATATTAATATTGAAATGCAGTAATCAAAAGCAAATTAAGACAAACAGACACACGATCATTTCCAGGATAATAAATGCCGCAGATCAGCAAAACAGTGAGTGCACAGGGGATTTTTTTTTCTGATTAGATGAGAGTTCTGGTTAGATGAATACCGGATAACTGAGAGTTTACTGCACTTATTTTAGCCACTAGATGGAGCTGAGGAGCACAGGGATAAATACTTATTATGACCACTAGATGGAGCTGAGGAGCATAGGGATAAATACTTATTATGACCACTAGATGGAGCTGAGGAGCATAGGGATAAATACTTATTATGACTACTAGATGGAGCTGAGGAGCATAGGGATAAATACTTATTAAGACCACTAGATGGAGCTGAGGAGCATAGGGATAAATACTTATTATGGCCACTAGAGGGAGCTGAGGAGCATATGATATAAATACTTCTTCCCTGTGCTTGCCAGCCCCATCTAGTGGCCATGATGCAGTTCTTTTTATAACAGCGTGTGTAAATAGGAATAATGCGAGCTGTGATGACTGTATAAAATGCATTTCCTGAGGCTCAAACACGGGGCTTCACTTTAATGGCCTTTCTGTGTGTGAATCTAATTAACGCTTTCCCTTTAATATCTGATCAGGTCCATCCATGACAGGACCTTCCCAGCAGACATGGGCTCCGTGGATGAGGCAGACGAACAGCTGAACCTGCAGCCCGGGATGGAGCATTCTCAGGATGTGGCGGGAGACGGGCAGTACAGCTGGGCCGCGCTCTGGAATATATTGACCATTGGGGGCAGTATCTGCCTCCTCGCTCTCTCGCAGATACTGGTGAGTCAGCAATGGCGGGAGGAGCCACATCAAACCTTCAAGTATGAAATAAACAATACGGAATACAGAAATTTAGATCGCTATGGTCAGTCACTCTTGCTATGGTCAGTCGCTATCACTATGGTCAGCCGCTCATGCTATGGTCAGTGGCTCTTGCTATGGTCAGTGGCTCTTGCTATGGTCAGTGGCTCTTGCTGTGGTCAGTGGCTCTTGCTATGGTCAGTCGCTCTCGCTATGGTCAGTGGCTCTTGCTATGGTCAGTGGCTCTTGCTATGGTCAGTCGCTCTTGCTATGGTCAGTCGCTCTCGCTATGGTCAGTCGCTCTCGCTATGGTCAGTCGCTCTCGCTATGGTCACTCGCTCTTGCTATGGTCACTCGCTCTCGCTATGGTCAGCCACTCAACAGGCACTCATGGTGGTGATTCCTACATATGCGTATGCCGTCACTTGCCAAGTGTTAGATTCCCGCTAAGGACAGACAGTCCCAACCCCTGACAGTGAAGTTTTGCTTTAATCCAAATTCCTCTCCACCACCCTGCATCATGTTCCACCACCCTGCGTCTTGTTCCACTCTGCGCCATCTTCCATCCTGCGCCATCTTCCACCACACTGCGCCATCTTCCACCACCCTGCGTCATGTTCCACCCTGCGCCATCTTCCATCCTGCGCCATCTTCCACCACCCTGCGACATCTCCCACCCTGCGACATCTTCCACCACAATCTTCCAGCACCCTGCGCCATCTTCCACCACCCTGCGCCATCTCCCACCCTGCGCCATCTTCCACCAGCCTCCACCATCTTCCAGCACCCTGCTCCATCTTCCATCCTGCGCCATCTTCCACCACCCTGCGACATCTCCCACCCTGCGACATCTTCCACCACAATCTTCCAGCACCCTGCGCCATCTTCCACCACCCTGCGCCATCTCCCACCCTGCGACATCTTCCACCACAATCTTCCAGCACCCTGCGCCATCTCACACCCTGCTCCATCTTCCACCAGCCTCCACCATCTTCCAGCACCCTGTGCCATCTCCCACCCTGCGCCATCTTCCACCACCCTGTGCCATCTTCCACCAACCTCCGGCATCTTCCACCCTGCGCCATCTTCCACCAGCCTCCACCATCTTCCACCACCCTGCGCCATCTTCCACCAACCTCCGCCATCTTCCACCCTGCGCCATCTTCCACCACCCTGCGCCATCTCCCACCCTGCGCCATCTTCCACCAACCTCCGGCATCTTCCACCCTGCGCCATCTTCCACCAACCTCCGGCATCTTCCACCCTGCGCCATCTTCCACCAACCTCCGGCATCTTCCACCCTGCGCCATCTTCCACCAACCTCCGGCATCTTCCACCCTGCGCCATCTTCCACCAACCTCCGGCATCTTCCACCCTGCGCCATCTTCCACCAACCTCCGGCATCTTCCACCCTGCTCCATCTTCCACCACCCCGCGCCATCTTCCACCACCCTGCGCCATCTTCCACCCTGCTCCATCTTCCACCCTGCGCCATCTTCCGCTACGGCCGCGTGCCTGTAATGAAACAATGTCATTGTATCCGGACATCTGGGAAATGAGCCCAGCAGCCATGATGCACGCGAACACGGCGGGGCGCGGCGGTATAATACCAATCAGCTCCGCTACAATGTAATTCACTTACAGATACGTAAGACCACGCCGCCATTAGCAGCGTTGGAGAGTTTGGGTGGTGATGGGGGAGGGGGTTATCATTTTCCAGAAGATTCTAAATGAGATTTACACATAGACCATCTGGAGCCTCTGGGGGCAACCCAAGATTCAAATAAGATCAGATCTTGGCTGGCGACAGCTGATTAATGTCATTTGCGCAGAGTCGTCCACCTCTCGCCCTAGGTAATACATTTTTCCAGGTCAGCTTCAATTATCCGCAATGTATTATGTTATACAGCGCTCCAGTTTATACCAGGGGAGTCACACACATGCACAATCACACACAGACACACAAAGGTTGAACTTGATGGACCTGTGTGTTTATTCAACCGCAGATACTATGTAACTATGTAGCACAGCCCTGTCTACCAAGAACAGATCTTTCTGTGTGGCAGCTTCACTTTTACTTACAGGTCTCCTTCCCACCCGCAGCCTGTGCTGGACAGTGCCAGGAGAAGCGGCAGAGGGATGAGCTCATCTCTCGGTCCCTCTGCTCTCTCCTCCTAACATAATTCTCCTAACACTGCAGTACAAGGAACTGGCTCCTTGTGCTGCTTTTCCCTCCACCTCTCCGAGCTCTGCTGTGCAGGGACTGCAAGAGGCTGAAATTGAGTCAAGCTTAGGCTCTTACACAGCTTTACAAATACACTATATATACATGTATTGTTGTGTTAATGATCACAGAGCAGTTTTAATTGGTGCCATTTATCTGCCTGGAGCTCAGCTTTTCAGCAGGAACTTTTTTTTTCCCAATGCAAACCCTCTGTAATTTAAAGTTATCCATATGGCTTCTTGCATAGTCTGTTCCATGACCTCAGATGCTGTGCTAGTAGAGCGCTGGACCTGAAACCTGAAGAGAGGTTGGGGTTGCAGTTCAAAGTCAAATGGCAGCTGTCCCGGGGGTGTCCCATGGGAGTACCAAAACCTATGGGAGTACCAGCACTGGGGGGGTACATAGATGTGAACACACTCAGGTTGAAGCTTAATACCAATGTATTTCTTATTTATTAAAAAACATTAAGTATATATTATTATATTTTTTTATCATTATT